TTTGAAAGCGGCATAACTGGTTGAAACCATTCGCTCAAAAAGAATTTTCACATTTATAATATCAAACTGTTTCATGTTATTCATGAAACTGTATACATTTTTGTCAATCGCTGATTCTGTTGGTTCATTTTTCACCCTATTTTGACTAATGTCCCAGTTTTCTTGTGCTTTATAAACGTAACAAGCGTTCCAAAAAACGCACTAGTCGTCCTATAAAAAATAAAGAGAAATATAAATGTTTTAAAACAGTGAAATTTTTAAAAATTTTTTTGTGTTTCAAATTTACCATAAAATGACTAACAATTTGATATGGATTAATTGTAAGGCGGGAATATTTCCAATAAGTGTGAACATCACTTCAGAATGCATACTTCAGTTTGAAACTACCGTAACCGACTGAGCTACGCGGTTATGGATTGGCTACGGACATCAAAAATAAGGAAAATCACTGATTCATAAGATTCATAAACCTTTTGACTGAAGTCCTTTCTTTAGCTGTTAAGGTTTGAGAAAAAATTCTGAAGATCGAATTACGAATAAAAAAAAGAAGCTGAGAATACCTATTTAAAAGGAACATTGGTAATCAAAAACGAATTATTATTTTTGAATACTCTAAAAATTCATGAATCTTACGAAGCGGTGGTATTTTTTCTTACTTTTTAAGCTTGAAATTGTTTCATGAAGAGATTTTTTGAACGAAAAGATGGCATTTCATTAGTTTTATATAAAAAATTACTGTTTCATTTTTGTCATATTGTTTTTAAAAACTTTCCCAAATTAGTTCTCCCAATGTACTTTGAAAAGTAAAAGATAAAAAGGCATTTTAGAAGGGTTTTTTTGGAGCGAAATCGGGCACTTTGATGTATTTACACATTTTGTGGCTACTGTACCCCCTTACACACCTCCAGTTGTGACCGTGTAGCTTGGCCGAGTTCAACTCCTAGACTTGTGCTGTAAGGTTAGAGCTAGAATTTGAATTTTTCGAAATCCAAAAAAATTATTTCGGATTATTTTTCTCTATAAAGTTGTTATTTTATAATAAGTTTAAATCACAAAATGTTTTTTTACTGTTTCAAAACATTTGTATATATTCCGTTTTATTGGTTTGCGACTAATACAATCATAAGATCCATAATTTTGTGGCAATATTTTTAGAAAGCTCAACTTGAAAAAAATTGAATGGATGAAACTGTAAAACTACGTTAGCAAAGTTAAGAGTAAACTTCGACTGAAAAATTAATACTGTTTCTAAACGTTTGTTTAACAAATTTGAAAAGTAAAAAATAGTTTTTGAGTCGAACCTTTCACCAAATTTTGATTTTTCTGACCATACTGTTGCCAAAAACAAAAAAGCCATGAATAACTTCAGAATATTTCTGACCTACAAAAATAGATTGTATAGAATTTTTCAAGAGCTACAAAATGATACTATTTGAAAAACTGTACCTTGTCTATGACAAAAGTTACGAGACCGTAACTTTTTTTCATAGACAAGTTACACTTTTTCAGGCAGTATCATTTTGAAGTACTTGTCAAGTTCTATTACATTTAATTCAGAGAATTGTAAAAAATGCACCTGAAGGAAGTTATGGACCGAATAGTCTGCATTGGCTTTTCAAGAACTATGATCTCTATATATTCAGAAAATTAGATATTAGAAAACGAGGATGAACAAGACTACATGGCTCTAGAAACATGCTAGATTAAAAAAAAGTGAAAAATTTACTTAAAAAATTAGTCAGGGAAAATCTGGTACATTTTGATTAAGTTAATGAAACAGTTAGACTTCAAAAATGTTAAAAATCCGTTTAAAATGGTGAGTATGGCTTCTAACCAACGTTCACATTTCATTTCTCCGCCAATCTATTCCTCCATTCCCATTTTGTTTGCATTCGTTTTAATCCATTTATATGCATTCATTTATATGTGTGTGTATGCATTTATACATATAAAGAAACATCTTATAGGTATGAGAAATGAAATCTTAAGGAATGTGAACAAAATTGAAAGTTTTTTTTGAGTGGGATGAAAAGAGGAAGATCCATTGAATTGGAACAAAAAGTTTGAACTAAACAAAGAATTTGAAACAGTGAGAAAAAATTATGCAATCTTTAAAAAATATGATCTTATGAAGGTTTAGCTACACGGTCAAAAATGAGCAACAAGCTCGATAAGTTTAAAAAATTTTGCTTTCAAAATTGCTGCTATTTTCAATTTTTCATAAAAAATAATTTAAAACTCACATCATTATACGCTTTCAAGTTATCCCCATTCACCTTGGCATTGGCGATTTCGGTCTTCAGTCGTGTCGCTTCGGATTGGTAGTGATTGATGCAGGATCTGATAGAATAGAGTTTATTATACTGGATATGAAATTCATTAATGTTTCAAAAAAGTATTTTTTAGCGAACAGGAATTCTGGTGAATTCTGGGTGTCGTATTACAAGTACTTCAAAATGATACTGTTTGTCATAGACAGGGTACAGAGGTACTTTTTAAAAGGATTTTTAACATTTTTGAAGTGTAACTGTTTCATTAACTTGATCAAAATGTACCAGATTTTCCCTGACAAATTTTTAAAGTAAATTTTTTACTTTTTTTAAATCTAGCATGTTTCTAGAGCCATGTAGTCTTGTTCATCCTCGTTTTCTAATATCTAATTTTCTGAATATATAGAGATCATAGTTCTTGAAAAGCCAATGCAGACTATTCGGTCCATAACTTCCTTCAGGTGCATTTTTTACAATTCTCTGAATTAAATGTAATAGAACTTGACAAGTACTTCAAAATGATACTGCCTGAAAAAGTGTAACTTGTTTATGAAAAAAAGTTACGGTCTCGTAACTTTTGTAGCTCTTGAAAAATTCTATACAATCTATTTTAGTAGGTCAAAAATATTCTGAAGTTATTCATGGCTTTTTTGTTTTTGGCACCAGTATGGTCAGAAAAATCAAAATTTGGTGAACGGTTCGACTCAATAACTATTTTTGACTTTTCAAATTTGTTAAACAAACGTTTAGAAACAGTATTAATTTTTCAGTCGAAGTTTACTCTTAACTTTGCTAGCATAGTTTTACAGTTTCAAGCTCAATCGAGCTGAAATCTTACCGAAATCCTTTAGAAAGTGTCTGAAACACCACTTCGCATCGTTTCTGATGAGCTGTTGCGTAGCTCATACCATCGCTCGGCGCCATTTTTGGCAAACTTTCGATTGTCGATGGGCGACCGTTCTGGAAAAAAATGGAATAGTTAACCTAACTTTTGAAGCTCGGATTTATACGACAACAACAGAACGGCGAATTGCTGAATGATGAAAACTGTTAAAGAAATGTTTGAAATGAAACAGTTTGAAATTTTAGGGTTTGTAAAAAAAACTTTGTGTTTCAAACAAGTCATAACTTTGAAAAAATGACATCAATCACTGATGTTGATTTTTTAAAGAAGTGTTTGAGCCGAATATATCTAGCTTTCTGTAAAAGATATCAAAAAGTAGTCAACTAACAAACTGTTTTGGATATAATAATAAATAATTTATCAGTTGAACACTTTTTGATATATGTTACAAAAAATGAGATAATTGAATTCAAAGTTGAGGAACCCAAATTCGCTAGGAAACGTCATCCTCAACATTGAGCCTAATTATTTCGATTCCTATAAAAGATATCAAAAATTTGTCAACTTATAAAATGTTTGTCATAATATGACCAACATTTTTGTAATTGAAAAATTTTTGATATTCTTATAGGAATCGAGATGATTTTACTTTAATTTTCCTGTTTCATCTTCTCTTTATGTTAGCTTGCTATATTCTGCTTATCGTTAATTGACCACTACGATCTGGGAATTTTGATTAAGAGTTAACAACTAACGATTCTAATAATTAAGAAAAAAAGAAAGTTGATAATAAACAACGAGGGGAAACTTTGAAAAGATATGGCCAAAAAATGAAGACAACGTTAACGGTTTTGTTACACTTTTCAGTCATATATGTATTGACTGATGAATGAGAACGTAGACACAGAAACAAGATATGTATTAATTGAGACATTGAGAATCACAAACACACACAAATTCAATTAAAGAAGGTAGACAAACAATACTTTGGGGGAGGCAGGTAGCAGGATTTTCGAAAGTGTAGCTTAGCTGGTAGAGGTACTACATCCCTAATATTAGGCTCATAAGTTCAATTCCTCGGTTTTGACATACGAAATTATACAGAATCAGTCAGCTTTTTTCTGTATCATGATAATTTGGAAAACCAAAAGGGGGTGCCTAGAATAATTTTTACCACATCATGACAGTGTTCAATTTACCAGTTTCAAAAGGATAGTTGATTTTTGTCTTGATTTTTCGAGTAAAACGAAAAAACAAAGTTGATACTTTTTTCATTGTTTGTGTTATTGATAACGGAAAAAAAAAATGAAAAATGAGACCAACTCTAGAATAAATGAAACAGAGATAGAGATTTTTTAATTTTGTGTATTGGTTTTAAAATTTCAAATTTAAGACTACCAAGGATAAAACAAAAATGTAAAAAAATAGGGGTTTTTCTCGATTTTTCAAGAAGCCTGTATTAGAAAAGCTTTTAACCGTCCACCCAATTTATGTCGGTTTTTGTAAAAGATATCAAGAAGTGGTTAACTAACAAAACATTATTGATGGTATCCTTTAAATTTAGTTAGTTGAAAACATTCCGATATCGTTCATAGGAAACGAGATAAATTGGCTTGAAGTTTACAGTTAGTAGGCATGAGATTCGATCAATTTGATATGGAAATGATACTACTACAAACTTTATGAAACATGAATTTCTAAACTTTATTTTGCTGTTTCATGATTACCAAAAATCTCAAATACTGCAAATTGTTTAGTTTTTGTATTGTCGAATTAAAAAAGTGACACCTGAGAATTTGAAAAATTTTGCTTCTTTTTGATCTACGAAAAAGTGCGGCAAAAACGTAATATTTCAGAATTTCGCCTCGTTCGAGCTACTTTCGCGTTTAAGTTTAGTTTTTCTGCTGAAAAATAGATTCTAGAGATGCTAACGATCATTTTTATACTAAGAAATCAAAATTTTGCTCAGAAAATCCCACTAAATTCAAATAAATAAATTTGTTATCTACAGTATCCGTTTTCGCTCCGCCCCCTCGTAAATCGACACGAGTGCCGTCTCCGAGATTTTCAGGTGTCACTTTTTTTAATCCGACAATAATCAGACTTAAATTTAGGTTACCTTGAAATCAATTAATCAGGAGCAACCCGTAGTAAAGAGCTCACTAACTTTGAACATATTTATTTCGGTTCCTGTGAAAGATATCAAAAAGTGATCAACTAACAAAATATTTTTGATGTTATTTTTAAGTTGACCTCTTTTTGATATCTCTAATATGAAACTAGATAAATTGGCTGAAGTTTACAGTAAGTAGGTCTATTTAAGACACCAGGATTATATGCTAACTAGAAATGACTCAAATACAAACTTTATGAAACGGAACCATCTAGAAAATTTTTTTCTGTTTCATGATTATCCTAAAAACACAAATACTGAACTAATAAAACGATTGAAATCTGATTCTTTTTGCGCCTATTTTTTTCAAGAACGGTTCAAAAACACAAATGTTCACTTTTTTGGTCTACAGGGAAAAAAACGGAAAGCCCAGGCCAGCCATCATCAGGTGGAGAGTGCAAACTATAGCTCAGAAGCTCCCCCTCGGAAAGCTCTCTATCGGAAAAATCCGGAAATCTCCTTGGGGGTCTGTTTGTTGTAGTAGTACATCATAAGAGAGAAGAGAAGGAGAAAGCGGGAGAAAAAACGAAGAAAACTACTGTTGAGAGTACACGAACAAGCTGATTAACCGGGAGGCGACAATTGACTGTCGGTCTTTTCGTCGGCAAAAGCTGCAGCGTCCCCCGGTCATTAGGATGGCAGGGAGGGGAGATGGGAGAACATGTGTACCTTCTAGTTGGATTTATAGTTGGAGAGGACGGGCTGGATGGAAGGAAGGAATGATGATTAGAAGCTAACAAGAAAGTTAATCAGTTAGAAACAAATGATTCTCCAAGGAATAATAATTTTTTTAAACCCCGAGTTTGTTTATGATGATTGTGAAACATTAAAAAATCAGAATGACTAGCCAAAAGTATTTTTTTCAAATTTTACCTATTTTTATTTAAAAATGATCTCAAATAAATGATTTTGTCCGTATTATTAAAAAACAGTGATATGAAGACACATTAACTATAAGCCAATTTAACTCGTTTCCTGGTAAAAATATCAAAAAGTGGTCAACTAACAAAACATTTTATCACGAAATCTAAAATAATTTGTCAGTTCACGACTTTAGACATCTTTTAACAACGAGAAAGACAACGAGATTTTTTATAACGAGAAAGCGAGATATTCACATGTGATGATATAAAATATATGTTTCATGAACTTATTTTAGGTTCGTGAAACTAAAAATTTCAGTATGTTTATCATCTAAAGGGCCATCTTATTGTCGAATTAAGAAAAGTGACACCTGAGAATTTGAAAACTGTCGCTTTTTTGATCTACGAAAAAGCGCGGCAAAAACGTAATATTTCAGACATTCGCCTCGTTCGAGCTACTTTCGCGGTTAAGTTCGGTTTTTTGAAGAAAACAGGTTCTAGAGACGCTAGCGATCATTTTCATACCAAGAAATCAAAATTTTGACCAGAAAATCCTACTAAATTCACAGAAATTAATTTCTTATTTACAGTATCCGTTTTCGGAGCGATGCCTCGTAAATCGACACAAGCGTTGCCCGCGAAAAATTTCAGGTCCCAGTTTGTTTAATTCATACTTGTGGAAAAGATGGCCGGCCCGCTTTTTGAAAATTTCGAAATTTTAGAGCGAATCATTATTTTTCAAGATGGCTTTTCCTCTTAATAAATGAAAACCCACACTAGAGGCCGATGCTGTCAAAACAAACTGTTTTGAGGTCGTAATTTGAAAAAAAAGTTTCATCCTTGGCTTAATGAAGTTTGATTTTTTTTTGGCTAAAAATTTAATTGAATTGACTTTTTCGGCTGGTTGTATTCATTTTCTTAAAAATTTGTGCTATTAAAAATATTTTGGCACATTTTAAAAGTAAAATTTTCGAAAAGTGGAGGGTTTTGAGGCGAGCGGCCCGGCCCGGCCATCCACATGTATGGTTTAATTCGACAATATCTTCCTTATATATAAAACGCTAGACGCGTCTGTTGGTCCCGGTGTCAGTCTGTCTGGTTTTGCGTTTTTAAATGAAAGATTGGCCGCCACCAAAACCGAACCGGCGGCCTTCCGCACAACGGCGGCACACGCACACAGCTGCGCCATGAGGGCCACACCAGGAGAGGGGAGGGAGGGCGTAAAAGTTCTACAGTGTGAGAAAGAAAAATAGAAAAGTGGGGAGTGGAGCAACGAACAATAAAAATGCTGAATTGCGCCGAAGGCGCACCAGCCAGCGGGCTGGTCAAAAATATTTAGATAAAAAATTGCGCAGATGAAGCTCCGCCCCATTTTGTTTATCATTAATTTTAGCTTTAAAAATCTAAAGGGACGTAATCTAGCCTACAGTCACTAGCTCAGCTGTTTAGCTCTAGTCGTTATAACATCGTGGAAGAATTATTAAGAACCTGTTCCTTTGACTTATCTAAAGTTTGTGAAACCGAAATTTTCAGTAGATCGATTATCTATGTAATTCTTAAAAAATATTTGCATAATTATCTCGATTCCTGTAAGAGATATCAAAAATCTGTCTACTAATAAAATGTTAATCACATTATGACAAATATTTTATCAGTTGGCTAAGTTTTGATATCTCTTGAAGGAAACGAGATAATTGAGTGCATCTGGGTCTTTAAAATTTCATAGATAAGGATGCATAACATTTCCTCGCAGCAAGAAACATAAGATTTTGAGATTTTAAGCAGACAATGAAACGGAGAAAAAAGTGTGTTGTAATTAATAATGAACAGAAGGATGTTTGGGAGAGAAACTTGATTATGGACAAGCATGCCGAAAATATGAAAAAAGCCTTTGAATTCGATTGGAAAAACATTAGAGATTTTAGTAAAGTTTTTTTTGCTAGTTCAAAATTCCTCAAATTCCTAGAATTTCTTTAACAAAAAACAAAACATCTCCAAAGCTTCATCTTCTCATCCGTAAGTGAGAAGAAAAGGTGAAAGCGATTTGAATGTGTTGGTTAAAAAGGTCTTATTAGGAGAAAAGAGGAACACAGATATTCTTCGTTTTCTTCGTTATACAAAAAGTGTCAGGAGAGAGAGAGAGAGGGAGAGAGAGAGAGAGAGAGAGAGAGAGAGAGAGAGAGGCATAGAAACACTTGGCGAAGAAAAACGACCAGTTTTGATTGGATTGAACTTTTTTGGAGGGGGAAAGTCCATTTCTTAGATGGGAAAAGGGACAGAGTTACAAATCAGATTAGCTGACCTTCAGATATAGTGGTTTCAAGGATAGATTTGACCATAGATGGATTAATATGGAAAAAACATATATTTGGTCAAGAGGAAGCATTTTTATTTTGTTAAAGAATGAAGTATAGAAGCCTCGACAAACGATTCTAGTAGAAGCTTCCCAGAATGAATGACAAAATGAAACATACATTTTTTGAGGAAACCATTTACTGAAATCTAGCTTCCAGAAAATAAATTTTTCATTTAAAAAAATTCTTTGCAATTGCGCTCTGTTGAACAAAAAGGCTTGTAGTTTGAATTTAGAACTTGGGAGACCATGAATATGGTCGAAATTGCATTGTTGCTCATTGGACGTTTACCTAGGTTCAATATTCAAACTACAATTCTTTTTTGTTCAGTGGAGCGCGGTTGCGATGAATAACTTTCATTTTCTAAAGAAAATTTTCTGTTCACAGTGTTATAAAACCATTTCAGCAAGAATATATTTGAAACTAAAAGTTTTCCGGTTTTGAGAACTTTGTAAAAAAATATACTTTATTTTTTGGGATT